CACCGTAGGTTCAAGGTGACCTGCTTTATTTTATTTTATTTTTTTAAATGCTTTTTGTGAAAGTGATGATTAGGGTGCAGTGGGCATTAACACAAAAACTGTATTACTAACATGCACAGAGATACACAAATGTTTGTTTTTGTTTTTTTCCTGTACACCCTTCGCGATCGACTTGGGATCAGTCCGCGAGCTACCGGTCGATCGCGATCGACGTAATGGGCACCCCTGGGATAGGTAAATAAGTAAAAACAAGAATCCAAAGAGGCCCATAATATCAGAAAACTGAACTTTTCGCATGGAACAGATCTTCCACCCGATCCTGAAAATGAGTTTTTGGATCTGTATGTGAAGTTAACTCTCGGTGGCGTTTTCTCAAGTTTTACTTCGACAATGTCGCACTACACAGATTTGATTCTTTCAAGAGCTTTAGTTTGTTACTCCACTGAAAATTTTTGAGTTTTATATTTTAGATTTTAGTTACTTTCTTTGATAAAAGATACTTAAATATAATGTTTTAGCATCATGCGTGGCATGGTGGTCAACCGGTTCAGACACCAGTCATACAGTTCAGCAGTTGTGGGTTTATATCCAGGCTCCAGCGTTCTTGTGTGGAGTTATGTTCTCTCTGTGCTTGTGTGGGTTTTCTCTGGGTACTCCGGATTCCTGCCAAAACTTGCATTTCAGATTAATTGCCGACTCTAATTTGTCCGTAGTTGTGAATGTTCTCTACTGGCTGCCGTCTAGTCCAGGGTATACCCAGTCTATTTCGCAAAGGCCCCATCTATTTATTTTGTGCCTTGGTGGTTTGAAAAGCCGCTACACTAAACTTATAGCCGGGCAAAATGTAAGCATTTTGGGTTACTTTTATTCAAATGAAAAAGTAAAAGACATTTGAGACAATTGCACGCTGATTTTCTTGGCTCGGGGATCTGTATTGGCAGATGTTTCAAAATAATTGACTCAGGTGGTTAAAAAAAATGTGATTGAATGGTAATGTTGCACTTGTGTATTTCAGCAAGGACATCGCGGTGACAAATTCACAACAGATGAACATCCAGCAGTGGTTGTTACCGGGCCCAGACCATAATGGTATGGCCTGCTTGGAAGCCTCACTGATCACGTATGAGAAATTATATCTTGAAGCAGAGGTGGGAGTTAGTAACTTAGGTGCAAGTCACAAGTAAGTCTCAAGTCGTAACTTTCAAGTCTCAAGCAAGTCCCAAGTCAGTGTGGATTTTTTTTTTTTTTTTAATTCACATGAGTTAAGTTATGTTGCCACAAAATCTCAAGCAAGTCATTACTTTGGTCAAGCAAGTCTTAAGTGGACTGTTGCTCAGTCACATGTTGGAGTGATAAGAAAAAAGTGCATTACAGTCATTTATCACGGTTAACGGGGACCAGGTCCCTGCCACAATAAGTGAAAAACGGCGAAGGAGGGTTTGCTCCCCCTAGGAATTTTTGTGTAAGTATATGTGGGTACCAGCATGTTTAAAATATGCAAACTTTGATTATACTTTACATATTTAAAACAAAGATTACAGCATATTGACTTAAATCTTTAATTATGAAACCTTATACAGTAATTAACATTCATCAGCATATCTTTATGAGAAAGACAAAGAGACTTGTGTTAGTGCCGTCGAAGGTGCGCTCTGACGGTGTAGCCGCCGTGAGCCTCCAGCTAGCTCCTGGCCAGCTATCCCTGCGCAGCCAATGTGTTGTGATAAGACAATTACTGTATTTTCCGCACTAAAAGACGCACTGGATTATGGGCGCACCTTCAACAAATGGCTATTTTGTAATTTTTTTTCATACATTGGACGCTTCACATTATAGGTGCAATCTACAATGCCTCCACTAGATGATGCTACGCTCCTTCCATTCAACTCGAGAGGCGTCCGTTCAACTTGAGAGGCGTTCATGACCGCCTCTGAAAAATGTAAATTAACTATTACTGTATTTAAATGAAACTACGAAAATTGAAAATAATGCATCAAAACAGAAAATCAAGTGAGGAAATCACAAAATAAATTCTATATCCCCCCTACAGAATTTATTTTGTGATTTCCTCGCTTGATTTTCTTCCTGGTTTCATTGAATTAATAATTAATTTACATTGAGTGGAACGGAAGAAGGCACGGAGACGGACAAAGATGTACCGTACCTGTATTTGTTGAGACTGTGAAAACCATTAATAAAGTCTGCGTTTTCAAAAAAAATTAAACCACAGCTCTCCTTTTTTCAACAAATACATTTGAATCTTTGTCCGTCTCCGTGCCTTCTATTATTCCGTTCAACTCGAGAGGCGTTCATGACCGCCTCCAAAAAAACGCATTAGCATTTCCTTGAACATAGCTCCACGACTACTACGATCAGATTTGTTGAATGTTGAAACGCTTTATTGTCAGATGTCAGTAGTAGTTATTTATTCCTTTGTTGTGTATTCACAAATGATGAAATCACAATATAAATTCTGTAGGGGTGGCTATAGAATTTCCTCGCTTGCTTTTCAGTTTTGATGTATTATTTTCAATTTTCGTAGTTTCATTGAAGTAATCGTGAGTTTACGTTTTTCGGAGGCGGTCTTGAACGCCTCTCGAGTCGAACGGAAGAAGGCACGTAGACAGACAAAGACGTACCTGTATTTGTTGAGACTGTTTTAAAAAATGAACACCACAGCTCTCCTTTTTTCAGAGCTGCAACAAAAACTTATTTAATAAAGCAGCGACACAGTGCACTGAACCAACAGCAAGTTATAACATAGGAAGCATGTCTCCAGGAAGGAGCCATCTTGGAGTCGATGTATTACCGTAATGACTATACAAAAGACGCACCGGAATTTAAGGCGCTCGGTGAGCTTTTAAGAAAATTGAAGACTTTTTGGTGCTCCCTATAGTGTGGAAAATACGGTAATCGGTATTGATGAGGAGGAGGACAAGAGACACGTGCTGCTTTTTTCAGACAAGCCCAATCACTCCCCCCCACCCC